TATTTATTATGAAAATTTTCCCGATAAAAGTGGTAACTGCGGCCGAACCCGAGGTCATAGGACATTATAAATTACATATTCGGACTCTTCATCCTAAGTTCTATAAGAATTGTTAATAATATCCGTTATAATAACAGACCGACTATACGACAAATATATGGGTCAAGGGATATGCATCCTCCTTTATAGATATTATCTTCATTTTAATAATTGTTTTTATTTGCAAATGTTTGGTACAAACGGTTTTGAAAAATCTAATGCAATATTTTTATTGTGAAATAAATATTGACTTAAATTGTATATTGTATGACAATAATTAATAATTGTATTTATATGTTAAGTAAAATGACTCGCGATTACAATTGTTGGGCTATCGTTACAATATTGTTCACATCTCGAGTAGAGTTAACTCTTACAACAGTTCATAAATACAAATACAATAAATTGCTACAATCAAGTGTATAAATACAATAATATTATTATAGGAAATATTCTATAAATATCTAATCCAAGTCGGAATCCTCAATGAGACCACATTTAGAGCGAAAATAGTTTATGAAAAACTGACATTCGTTTGATTCAATAGTATTTAAATGTTTGAAATCTTTTGCCAAATATTTGCTAGCAACAGCCCACTCGTGGTATGTTTGTGAATTAGAACATTTTAAATTCATTATTCAATAGACCTACTCAGCACACCGGAGCCATTTGGGGCCATACTATGAGTGACAAAACTTTAAACATTTTAACATTAATCTCTATACTGACTAATGTTATAATAGTCACTATTTTGTCACTGTTAATGTGGCCCGGATTACAATGTTTGCGCATCGTAGCAATAGACCATTAATTATATATTTTAAAAATTAATTCAATTCTGTATTAACTGAACACAATGTAGATTTAATGTTAAAATACTGTTGGAAAAACAGGCCATCAGTTGATTGATGTATATTTGTTGATGAAATGCCGTTGTCAATCAAATCGCTTTCAATATAACTCTTATGAATAGACCATAAGTTATATTCGGATAATACTTGTGAGCACTCGGGTCTGTCTGTCCAGTGAGGGCCGGGTTTGTGCGGGTGATCCCAGTTATAGTATGACATGGATTGTAGTAAGTCTTGTAATTTAAGAACACGTTTACCTAGAACTTCGTTATTAGTGCTGTCCATTTGAAATAATAATTAAACATGGGCAATTAACTAGCATATATTTATACATGTACTTAATAGTAATTTATTTTATAGTTTTTTATAAACTATTGACTCGACTTACAGTTTGTCATTGAAATTCAAACCAAAGATTTCTTCACCGATTTTGGACAGACTATAGATGTCTACCCTGTGGTCATATTTTGCACAATAAGCCACTTCTGGCGCCTGATATCTAGTGTCGCCGACATCTCCCGTATGCTTATTATTAGTCATTGAATGGATATTCCGGTCGTGTACTGTCGCCAAACCAAAGTCACCCAGTTTAAAATACCGCCCATTTGTGACGTTTTGTGCCACTAATATATTGTCGGGTTTGAGGTCCCGGTGAATGACCGGTGGATCCAATTGATGCAAATACTGGACGCACTCTAAGAGCTCTTTGAATATATGACACGAAATGTAAAACTCGATTGAATTCATGAGTTCTTCAGGTTTTCGGTGAAATACTTGTGGTTTGTGTTCAAGAATTTTCGTAAGACTATTGGAACACAACTCCATTATTATGTAATANTAAGTTATACAAGGTTTTTATACATTTCATTGTGCACAATAATCTTTTATTTTATGTGTTTTATTGCTAATTGTGATAATACTTCAAATGTTAATAAACATATCAATTGGCAACCATTAGTTACACGCATTTAAGATAACAATGTACATTGTATATTTATATAAATTATATTTAACAAAAATAAGTATGATGCTTATAAAAGTATGTAATATATTTTTACCTATTAATAGTATACTGACAAATCACAAAATTTATTTCAACATTTTGATTATTTATAAAATACTAAATAATATTTATTGAACTAAACATGCAATATGATAATTATCGTCATAAGATATTAATTTACTTATATCATAAATCAAAAATATATGATAATATAAAAATATTTTACCTGTACGTCTATCACATTAATGCTATGGTTTAGTAAAAATACACTTTTGTTTTTTATTTAACAATTTAAAATAATTAAAAATCTGAAACTTAATAACAGTAACTAGTGTAATAAATATGTTTAAATCACTAGCCAATAAATGTAGGGCGCACTTTAATAAATTGAGCAATGACTATTACAATATCGTAAACGCCATAAACTTAATAGACTCGTATGCGCGCAATAAATACATTTTATTGTCGGACGGATTTGAGTCGTACCTCAACCGCAAAAATAGATCCTGGAAACGTATCAAAATTATATTAATCACACAATTGTCCCTGGTATTAGTTGCAACTCGTTTCATTGTGTCTGCATTAGTACCTGACAACAAGTCCGTAATATATTACACTGCTACGGGATTAAGCTTACTTGGTAACTCGAAAGTTGTTCCGTTAATTTTTGTAATAGCGTTTGTTGGTGCCGTATTTGTACATGGTGTTAGTGTTTATTTTGAAACTAGTAACAAATTTTATATCATAAATTTTTTAAATGATATCAAAATTGGTGCAAATCATAATCAATTAAATCGTCAACATACATCTAAATTTGCAATTCGCGTAAACATTGCGGCAAAATATTTTACCTTTATAGTGTACAGCGTTTTCGCTTTATTGATAAGCATATTCTTTAATGGTGTTGCATTGTTTGCATATTATAATGATGAATCAAATTATTCCATACTAATCATAATTCCCTGGGTGATTACCACACATATAGCCATTCGACATCTGCTAGCTTTCACAGTTACCATGATCATTATGGTATATTCATCTATATTGTTTGTGTCTTACTAGCTTGCTGAATTAAATACAAATTTAACATATAACTTAAATAATGAGAATTTTAACAAATTTGTTATCGCAATTAGCCAGTACAGTTACATTGCTTCTACTATCCAGAAAATAAATTACTATATTAAATATTTAGTATTAATAGATTATCTAGTGATTGGATCCACCCATCATTCATAGGGATCTTAAACCTGACAATATTTTAGTGGCTCGGGATGTCAGGAACGGTAGGTTTTTAAAATCGTGTGACTTTGGTTTGGCGACAATACACGACAAGACTATCCATTCAATGACTACTACTAAACATATGGAAGATGTGGCGATATAAGATATCAGGCACCAGAAGCTAAGGTTGAGACATATGACCACAGAGTAGACATCTATAGTCTGTCCAAAGTAGCCAAAGAAATATTTGATTTGAACCTAACTGACAATTCGTAAGTCGAGTAAAGTTTTTAAAATTAATATAATTTATACGTTAATATAACTATAAATGTATTATTTACTGATATAGTCAGCAAACGTATTCATCAGATGATGAGGTCTTAAAAATGTGTCATTAAATTACGGGAAGTATTGGTTTCCATGCGATTGTATCCCAATTGGGAGGACAGACCCGAGTGTAAGGATGTGCTGAAGACATACCACGAGTGGGCTATTGATGAGAAATATGTGATAAAAGATTTAATGGATAAAATGGAGAACATTGTGGCCATACATATGAATAAACCAAATAATTGCCAGTTTTTTGTGAAATATTTTTTTGCCAAATTACGTCGAAATACTGACAATCGATTGATTCGGTTATTTAAAGAGTATTTTAAGCTCTCTATTGTTAAAGTTGAAGTAATTGACTAAATATTATAATAATAATAACAATTGTAATCAAAGAATATCATGTATTATAAATAATTACCAATTGTTGCTATATTTTTGTAATCAAATTAAACTCAATTTAAAATTCAATCCTTATTTCAAATTGAATATTGAAATAAAATTGAATTAATTAGATTTTTCAGAACCGTTTGTGTCATACATTTGCAAATAAAAACAATCATTAAAATGAAGATAATATCTATAAATTTGGTTCATATGATGGCATTAATTGGTGTGATCTTTGCTCTCGAGTCGATGACTCCCTCAACGACTGCAAGAATTCGTGAATCGAGTGATGAGACTATAGATCGCGTAAAGACTGGACTAATAGTTATGATAATTATCTCAACGATTGTACTCATCATATGTGCCGTACTTTATGGGGTCATCAAAATAAGACAAATTCGAGGGACCGGTAGGTCTGACACAGAATCGTATAAAAATTGAAATGAAATTCCTGTCCATATGTGTAGAGACGCCAACCATGAGCTCCGAGTTCACGGCCGCCGTCTAATGCATAGCTCACTGACAAAATGGCATAACTTTTGTGTAAAACTCAATGAATGATAAAAGTTTTGATAATTTATTACAAATTCATTATTTTATAAATGTATTTCCTAATTTTTAATTTTCTTTCAAATGGCGTATCGTTTGCAGAGATAAGCCTGATAGTTTTTGAGTTATAGCACATTTTACAAAAACTACCTGTGTTATGATACCGGTGTTCACATAAAATTATAACTTAGGCAGGCTATATAGGCTTAAAACCCATGTTTCTCATATTTATATTTTTTATTTAAATTATCTGGGTCAAAAATAAATGAACTTTTACTGATTATATTCTACCTATCAAAACTTTTGCATAACCCTGATAAATTAAACTTTGTTTCGGTTATACTTATTAAATTTTGCGAATAAAATGAATCACCTTTTGATTGCAATTTACGGTGTGTTTCATCAAACGTGGGATCATTTACGAGAATATTCTTATCGATAGACCACTCGTTATATTTGGACAACACTTCTACACATTCCGGCCTCCGATGCCATTGAGGGTACGATACCATTGAAAGTAATAATGTTTGTAAATTATGAACTGGTTCATTTAAATTAAGATTTGTTACTGAGTAGCCTTGTGGTCTGTATTAATACAAATACGATGAAAATTAGAAAATAATAAAATGGTCTAATAAATATATTATACTTGTCCAAGTCTATTTTGGCAACATCAAAATCAAATAGGTGTTCGCCGATTATCGCAAGACTATAGACATCGCATTTATGGTCATAGGTTTTGCCACTGAGAACCTCCTGTGCGATATATCCAAGGGTTCCCACACCTGATGTGTGTTTATTAGTTGTAATCAAATGTTTGAGTTTGTCGTGAACTGTAGCCAATCCAAAGTCACATAACTTAAAAAATCTACCGTTCCTTCCGTTTCTATCAATCAATATATTGTCGGGTTTGAGGTCTCTGTGAATGATCTGTGGATTCAATTCATGCAAATACTGAACACATTCTAAGATCTCTCGGAATATTTCACACATTTAATTTTTAAAATTATTTATTATAGATTTTACCGAAAAACAAACATCAAGAACATTTAGCGAAATAAATAATTTAGCAAAAGTTGACGCAAAGTATTGTGTAAAATATTATGATTCATGCAAATACTGAACACATTCTAAGATCTCTCGGAATATTTCACACGAAATGAAATACTCGATGCAATTCAGGGGTTCTCCTGATTGTCGACCAAATTCTTGAGGTTTGTGTTTAAGGATATTCTGCAGACTCTCTGAACACAACTCCATTTGTATGTAATAGAGTTCCCCTTCAGGCCATGAATCATAATATTTTACACAATACTTTGCGTCAACTTTTGCTAAATTATTTATTTCGCTAAATGTTCTTGATGTTTGTTTTTCGGTAAAATCTATAATAAATAATTTTAAAAATTAAATAAATAAATAATTTTGTTAAATACAACCTTTCATATTTATCAATTTAATAGCGTAATTTAAATTATCATGTTTATGTGTCACATTGTAAACTTTCCCAAATGCACCAGAACCGATTATCAATATTGGCGTAAAAGTCTCCTTGAAATAATTTTCTCTAATATTAATTGTCATGTAACTAACGCCGAATTCATTGGTGTAAAAGTCGTTAAAATTATTAAATTGTGTTTTAATTAATTCGTTTGATTTATTTAATAGATAAATATTGTCGCCGTCCGAAAGGGGTATGAAATCGCGTTGACACCCAAAATTCACTGGACAAATATGTTTCCAGATACATTGTATCTCAAATAATTCAACTTTCGTGCATTTTGTGACCAGGTTAACTTTATTATAATGAATATTGTAAATATATAAACCGCCTGACTCAGATAAAAAACAAAATTTTTCATTGTTAAAATCAATTTCTGTGTTTTGTTTATTATTCAACCAAAAGCATCTTGACATTGACTTTATTGCGGTTAAATCCGATAATAAATGCGGTTTTATAATAAACCCTGATGAATTACATTCAATCATAAAATTACCCCAATAATATACATTTTCCTCATAAGTTATGGCAAATGATGAAACCACACCACAATATATACTAATAATTTTTGCATCATTATTGAATTCTAATAAAATTGGTTCACAAATATTGTGGTCTAGTGAGCCACAACCTACTTGTCCCTCAACATTACGGCCCCACCCATACACCTGTCCATCGGCTGTTAGGGCCAGACTGTGCTGTGAACCACAACTAATTTGTTGAATATTTTTGTTGTCAAAAAATAATATTTTGTGAGGTTTTAAAAATTTGTCTTTTGGAGTCACATCTCTAGTCAACTGTACTATAATATCATAACCCCAACTATAGATACAGTTTGAGGCACTCTTAGCCAACACAAAGTCAGAACCAATATAGAAGTGTTGAATGCGTTTGTGACACAATTCCTGTATTATCTGCGGCGACGGCACTGCAATATTATGTCCAAAACCTAGACATCCCATAAAATTATAACCCAA